TGACGACCACAATTGGCAGCGAACGGGCTGATGAAGCGCCATACCCTGCCCCTTTGACACGCCCCCACATGCGTAGCGAGCAAGCTGTACTTCTGCTTGCAGCGTGATCGAATGGGGACGTTGCTGGCGCTCATTCAAGGATCAAGGCCTGAACGGGAAGCGACCGAGCGTTTCCATTACGATTTCATTTGGTTAGAATAATGCCAGAATAACAGAAGATCCATTTAAAATATATGACGCTTTCAAAAGGGACTGGCTGTCAGAGGGACAGATTATCAAACTACTAGGAAGTGTGACAAGGAAGGCGACGACTCAGATAGGTGATGCGGGGAACATTGTGCACGCAAGAGCCAAAAGTTTATGCAGGGGTACAAGCCAGAGAAGCTGCCAAACTGACCTGAGAAAAACTTCGAACCATCGAGCAGCAGCAAGTCATTCCTAACAGCCCTTCAAAATGCTCGGAACCCACAGAAACAAACGTTTCATTGCTGACTAATCGATATTCCCCAGATGAGACACTATGCAAACTCACTTGATGAAAATTCGGCGTGCGAAACTACTGGCGGAGCTAACGCACTGGGAGGGGAGCTGACCATCTGGCCGCGGCTCTGTATTTATTCCCAAGAAAGGTTAGGCGTGAACGCAGATGACCGAAGTCGCTGCGGAGAACATATGCTCTTCACTCAGTCTAAGGCTTGACTACAGGGAAAGGATAGAGGGCGCTGGCGTCTGGTCCCCGTCTCTCAAATACGTTAGCCACCACATTCTCTTTCTTTTAATCCCAGCCCATAAACTGAAAAATAAACAGAGACTGAGAGGAGGCAAATCAAAAGGCTCAACCCACAATAAGCGTAGGCGAAGTTGAGCCCACCATTGTGTCTTCGACATGGGATCGTTCTTCGCGTTTACTAAGTGTTTACTGTAGAAAGAGAAGGTGCTATGTTTTAACACGTTGACGACATCCTGAGCCACCGGTGGCTCATGACTTTCTCCATCACTTTTTGGGTTATTGCCGGCAGTCTCAATCGATCTTTTTCTTGCTTTCGAGTAAGCTGTGGAAGGTGAGTTTCCAACAAGGATGAGCAAGAAAAATGTTGCTGCCCCCATGAGATATTTTGAATTAAAAATTGAAATTTTTCAACTAGCTACTGCTGCGGCAGAAACCTCCAAAATAGTTCTTTTTGGACGAAACCTTGGCTGCAGGGACTGCGCGGGTCTTGATCATGAACGTGAGATCTCATTTGTCATTGGCGCCATATGGCGCCAGTAGGCGCCATTTTGGCGCTAGCAGTCTTTTTGGCACCGAATTCGATAGAAACCTCCATAGCTAGTTTTTTCGAGATCCTTGTCACAAATATATCGTTGCTTTCCAGTGTTGCCGCCACCTGGCGCCAGCGGGCGCCACTTTGGCGCCAGCGATCTTCTAGCACCGAATTGGGTACCTAGAAGATCGCTGGCCACCTGGTTTATTTGGCATCCTGGTCACGAATGTATCATTCTTTCTCAGCATTAACGCCGTTTGGTGATCTTGGGATGGTAAACAAATGATAAAATATGGATAGTCGAAATAAAATATGGATAAATAGTGATAATAAAATATTGCTAGAAATCGCGAAAATCGATCTATAGTAGGCGGGGCTAAGTGTGCAGAGCCTTATGCATCTTTGTGCCATTGCTTGTCTGTGAGCAATATGTGAAGAGTGTGTTTGAAGCGTCAACGTTGAGATAAGGTATGAAAATTAAACATAAAACAAACCTGTTAAAAAGTGGGCGTGGCCGGCTATGTGTCGGTGTGGCCATCCATGAATCATTGTAATGTGTGAAAAGCAGAAAAATCCAGGAATTCTTAGAAACGGAAGTTATGGAACACATTTTGGAAATCACGATCGCGCTAAAAAGTGGGCGTGATCGCAGAGGGCAGGGCATGAGATGGCATCCAATAGGGTCAAATATGGTTGAAATAGCAGTCCCAACACGATTGACTTATCATTTTGCGAAAATTTGACATAGCGGCAAAAAAGTGGTCCACGAGGGACAACATGAGCCACCGGTGGCTCAGGGCGGACGCATGCGAAAGCACGCCATTGTCCCACGCGGCGCTTTCCCGCAAAACGCGATTGTCGTCAACGTGTTAAAGTTTATGTTAGTTGTATGTTTCATGTTAGAACATGTCATGCGGTCTCAGTGAAAGGGTGCAGACGAGCAGCCATGAAGGGGCTCAGCCGGGCTGGAGCCTACCGAAAGGCGCTCCAATGAGGAAGGAATAAATGTAGGTTGCCCTGCTCCGCATGACCAACGCAGACTGTGTTTGTGAGCCACACGCATCAATGACCCATTAATGAACCTATGAATCGTAAATGAGTCGTAAAAAAACGTGAAACCGATGCCGGGTGCTATCGCATTCGTGGTAGCAATGGCAATAAGTCTCGGGAACAAAAAACATCAACGTTCTATGACACGTCATGCAACATCTTCTGACACACTTTTCACTGTGATGTTGTCAGATGACAGGGACAGTTTGGCACGGGGAAAGGGCATATTGCACTTTTGCTACAACCCGTCGACATGTCAACCCGTCTAGAGAGCTATTTCATGAGCATACAAGAGTTGACACGTTTACCATGGCTCTACAACCTTGTTCTGGCTTCACAAGAATTCACAGGTTTCACCAGAGTAAGACTTGTAAACCGGAATTAGTGAAGCAGCGAAAGTGCAAAATGCCCCTCTGCTGCCGAATTGTGCCGATGACATGTCTAAACAAGCAAGGGATTGTCATCGCAAAACGAAAACGCCTGAATGCCGCGCACGTCTTGGCGTTGGGGAGAATTTTCCTTACATAGAACCCTGCCCGGCCCGAACTTGCTCCTTCGGGGGCTCTTTCACAGCCGAACCTTTCATCCTACCACCGAACCTTGGTGAGCGTGAAACAAGAAAAATCGATGATCAGAACAAGTTTTTCTCATGTCTAATACAATCTCCAACCCTCGCGGCCAAACACGAGCCCACTGGGACGTACCCTCGTCGTAGTTTTGCCACATCGCCACCTAGGGAAGAGGGGTGGGGAGTATAACGCGCATAAACGAGAGAAATCAACAATAGGGAAACTTTCCCTGGAAGCCGAATACGACCTCCTCCCTCAGCAAGCAACTATACAATCCCTTTTTTTGCACGGCGATGCTGCACCCTGCCTATATAACCACTGCTATCGCGGGCTGCGATAGCCATCGACACACTTACCTTCAGGAAAGAGTTATTGCGCGGTGGTTCTGGAAGATCGCATGCAACGTATAGATCACCAAGGGACTCGGCCGCTTGTTCAGCAAGTTCTGCACATATCGTATACTTCTCAACCTAGAAAGTAAAGGTGAGCATATGAGAAGCTGATAGATGGAGTTGTTAAGTGATAGAGCTCCTTATCCGTTACGAAGGCACCAAACTCACCTCCGATGGACTAGCCATATAAATGCCAAGACCATGTTCAGAAAACGACATTTTTTGACAAATCCTAAACCAAACATCATGAGGATACCAAACGAAAGGGCAGTAAGGGAGAATATTTTACCCAGCACAATTTCGGAATGGTCCAAGCAACCATTCCATAGTAATAGAAACAAAAAATGAAGCAGTGCTCAGGTATAAGTGAACAGCATGGTCCTACTTTATGATAAGAGCGATAAGATGAGAAAACTTACGGGTCGTCGATTTCCACTGAATGAGGCAAAAGCGGTGACTGATGAAGGACCCGTAGCGAAGGTAACGATAATACAACCATCTAAAAATATTGTAAATTTGCACTGATAACGAATATACCCTCTTAGGTAAAGGTACATGCCTAGAGCTGATATCACAGGGACCTGGGTCTTTGTCTGGAAAGACAAAAGGGTAAAACAGTTCACCTATAACGTATTGCTCATGCAGAACGGTACAATAGTAGCAGTTCTTCGTGTTGCACATTCCTGATCGATAGGCTCAGATCTCATGCGAGCTAATTAAGCCTTCGTTCTATCGGGGCTTGCAAACGCTTCAAACGAGGACTCTATAGCCTCCCCCCCTCTCTTCCCCACCTAAAAACCAAAAAAAGGGCAAAGCCCTCAATCATTTGAGCAATCCCTCTTTGGGATGCGGTACGCATCCCACCGACGCTAACAATCGCACTGGCATTTTGAATGGGATATGGCCTATGAAATGAAGGCGCAGCCATGCTGGGACCAGCCGATGTAAAAGTCAGTGTGTAGGATAGAGCGTTGTAAAGCATCATATCATATGTAAATTATATAGACTGTGTAATTTGTGACCCACTGTTGGGTTGCTGGGGACCGGAGGCGACCTATCCCGAGGCTAATGACCAGGGGCTCATTAACTGCCTGAGGATATTGCCAGGAGCAAACGGATGACCCCTCAGGTACCAAAGGGTCGCCCCGCCCCCTCTCGCGCCACCCATATATAGCGAGGTCATACAGTATTACTTACTCTTTCTCTTCGCACTCACTCGCCTCCGCCTGTCTTCAGTGTCCCAACACGGGACAACTATTGTACTGAATAAATATTCCTATTCTATCTGTGTTCAACAGCAAATCTAGTCAACTACTACACTACTTCGGAATCGAAGTAAACCACTTGGGGGCCAAGCCGAACTGGATTAACAGTTGAACTTGCAGATAATCGAGCTGAAATGTCTAGTACAACAAGCTGCAACGAGCACGAAATGGATCAAATCGACGGCACAAATCCTCTAAACGATTGGAACGCAATCGGAGTAAGTTGCGAATACGAGGACATAAATAAGTGCTTCGAAAACATCCTGGTTCAGCTCAGCGAGGTACTAACTGACCAGATACGCAATTTCTCAAGCGCTAAGCGCGGAATCATTCTGGGAACCGTACGGGAAACAGTACGGAATGCTCTAGTCAAGGTCAAAAATCATCTAGAAGGAAGGGAGCAGTCAACAAGCTCCTCGTTTTTCGATGAGGTCCAAATGTCAGTAGAGGAGTTGCGCGAATTTTTGCCTACTGTCAGCTCGCACAGCCGTACCCTCTGCCAGATCGCAGCAAGACTCGGCTGCGAGCTGAACCAGGTAGCTGAAACAGTAGATAAGCAGTGTGTAGAGTAATAGAGATGGAAAACAGCTTGTCCTCGGCACTGGCGGCGAGGAATGACCTCGAAAGTAAGATAAGGATATTGCAGGCGCAAGTTACTCAAATGGCGGGTCCGTCAATGTCGGAGGCCCGAAGCGCAGATGTTGCCACCGCAGGTGAGGAAGTTAATGACTGGAACAATATTCGCAGCCATTACACATCACTCAAACACGGAGAAAATTCTGTTCAGAGACGGAACGGACTCCACCACAAGAGCGATGGACCTCACTGCGTCCCAACAGCAGCATCGCAAAAGTCGTCACGGCAGTGCTCGCCGGTGTCTTCCCGAGAATCGACGAGTGGTGAGTCCCTATTCAGTACCAGCTATTCTAACACTAGTCAGGCACACGCTGTGGACCCTATTAGCATGTTTAGTGCTTTTAAGGAGGTTTTTAAAACCCAGTGCGTCGCGGATGTAAGGAAATATAACGGAAAAAATTCCTTAAGCGAGTTTCTTCGGGCAATAGAAGTGAAATTTCCCGCCACGTTGTGGAAAGACTCGGATAGACGCGACTTGCTAGTGAACCACTTAGAGGGGACGGCTCTGTCACTCTATAAGGGTTTCTCAGATATAGTCAAGCAAGGGACCTTCAACGGTGTCGTTGAAGCGCTCAAGGCAGCGCGTAAAAATCCCTGTGATCGACTGAGGGATATCAAAGAATGGGAGAGTCTCTCCAAGAAAAACGGCGAATCTGTCGTAGATTTTTGTTGCCGCATGGAAGATCTGTCTCGAAAAATACACCCGAGCAGCGAGTGGGATTTTATAAGAGGGTCCAAGTTGTACTCCTGTTTTCAACACTGGCAAAATTCATATTACATGATGGCGGCATTGGATGCGCCAGAGGGACGAGTCTACGAAGAGGTGAAGAGAGTTGCCATGCGGCTGGAAAAGCTGCAATTCGATAGCAACACCCAGTTGCGTTTCCAGAAAAGGGGGTTTGATCGACAAGGTAGCGACCCTCAAAAGACTCCCTCTTTTAATACGACCAGTGAACAAGCAGGAACCCTAGCCAAGTCCATACCCAAATGCAACTTTTGTGGAAAAAGGGGACATCTGGCAGCGGACTGCAGAAAAAGGGAGAAACCCTCGAACCACAAGTATCGTGAGAACGGTCACAACCGCAACTATAGCGATACGCGAAACAACGCAGCTGGAGGTAGCTCGCTTGTAACGGAGTTAGACAGGTGGTGTAAAACTGTCCAAAGAAAAGGGGAAGACCCAAAACTCCAGTCAGGCGCTGTAGGTAAACCAAGCACTTGTGAAGTGGAAATTTTCGGTATTACAGCAAAAGCGCTCGTAGACACAGGCTCTGTGATTTCGATTATCCCTGTTGGGCTCCTCAAGAGAGTGCGCGAACAAGGCGTTGATCTTGATGCTAAGGCACACATCGTAGGCGATGGGAAACAACGTAGACTTTTCGATGCGTCGGGGAATGCGATGAGCTTCCTTTCGGAAATAACAGCAGAAGTAATGGTCATAGGAGCTAGCACGGCCTGCGTGCATATGCACGTGCAGCAAAGTAACGACGATAACGTGTTTACTACAGCCACTAACTACTTCAAGAATAGTTTGAGGGGATTTCTCTGAAACTGACCCCAAATGTACACAGCATTACGGAATGTGCTCTTGCAAAATCCACCGCGTGTTCATCACGCGCTGTCCACTTACTCAGACAGCAAGCTAGTATTCGTGGCCAGTTATGAAAAGTAGCCACAGTAAAAATTTCTGGTGGATTTAGCAAGGGAGCTTGCATATTTTGGTCCAAAAATCCTCGTATAGAGTCTGGTGTATGCCAGGTAGATGAAGGCAAGAGCTGAACTGTCAGTCATATTAATAAAGGTTCAGAACCCTGGGTAATAGGCCGAGGGGAGGACGCTAGGGAGATGGTCAACGGAAATCTGGGTTGCGCCGAATAACTGATTCCTGAGCGATAATGATGGAACCTAGCTCAGCCTAACTGCGTTATCAGGAAGCTGCCAGAGATCCATTTACTTTGTGAGCATATGAACTAAAATCGAAAAGCTGGAACTTACCTCGATGAAATGCGTAAGTAATGAATGAAGTATAGTGCTTTTTGCTATTTTCGGATACGAGAATTAACGACAAATCGGATATGAGTCCACTCACGACATTGATGGTAGGTGATCGATCACGCTACCATACCGACAGAAAACACAGCCGCGTCCCCTACGGAATACGTGCGGCATGGACGTAAATGTTGCGGATCTTAAAGGAATAAGGTGGATTGAGGATAACTCCAACCCCGTGGCATCCCCGTATATATAGTATGCCAAGAAAGATGGGACTACTAGGTTGTGTGTCGATTATAGGGAGGTCAACAAGGTGACGAAAAAGGATAGTTACCCCCTACCGCCAATCGATATCACATTGCAGAATTTGCAAGGAAAACGATGGTTTTCATCGCTAGACCTAGCTAGTGGGTACTGGCAAGTACCCTTAACCGAAAAGGCAAAGGAAATTAGTGCGTTCACTACAACATCAGGGCATTTTCAATTTCGTGTCCTCCCTTTCGGCCTTACGACAGCACCAGCAAAGTTCCAACGATTAATGGACAATGTGCTGGGTGAATTGTTAGGTCCTGAAGTTTCAGTTTATATCGATGACATCTTGATTGCCACACCGATTCCTTAGAACGGCATGTTGACATCATGCAACGGGTGCTCAGCGCCTTTAGGGAAGCCCGTTTGAAGATTAAACCTCAAAAATGTCGCATAATGGAACCTAGTATAGAGTTCCTGGGCCATGTGGTAGACGAGAACGGTGTCAGAGCAGACCCGGAAAAGAAGCAATATTCAGGATTACGCCCGACCACAGAACATAGCCCAACTACGAACATTCCTGGGTATGGCAGGATATTATCGCAAGTTCGTGCTGCGTTTTTCGCAGATCGCCAAACCCTTATATGACCTGACAAGCGCAAAAAGGTTATTTGTGTGGACAAATGAACACACCTTAGCTTTTGAAAATGCTTAAAAAGGCACTCACGGAGGCTCCAGTCTTAGCGCAACCAAATATAGAGAAAGCAAGGGACGGATCTCGCCCCTTTGTTATCTATACAGACGCTAGTAGGGTAGGCATATAGGCGCGTTCTAGCTCAAGATGGATGAACGGCTTGTTGCATCCAGTATTTTTGCTTCTAAGCACTTGTCTGGAGCTGAGAAAAACTATCATGTCACTGATCAAGAAG